GGGGTGCTGCTTGGTGCCGTGGTGGGCTCTGCAGCGCTGACACAAAGATGAACCAAAGGTGGGGTACGGTGCGAATCCCAGTCTTTTATGGGGGAAGCTGCATCCTCTTTTCTCTCTTAAACGAAGATCTGAGTCTTTTCCTCCAACTTCACCACTTACATGAAGGAAGAGAAAAATTTGCCGTGACAGTCCTAACTACCTCTGAGTTTCTTCCTGGCCATATCTGCCTTGAAGGCTCTTCTGTGCTGTGGCCCTGTTTCATTCAGTGGGAGTAAGCCCCAGCCCTAGAGTACAACTCGGTGATGAAGTCTTTTAGCAGGGATGTACCTTTCTTAAATTCATTTCCCATTCCTGAGAGAGTACTTGAATCACCAGACTGCGGTTCAGTAGCGCAGGAACTGTAACATCTCTGGCCACCTTTTTTCACAGCAAAAGAGCAAACCCTCCTCAGGTCTTCAGAGAACATAGGGGAACGTCTCCTCCCAGGAGATGGTTCCCAGCAGTGGATCCTAAGTTGATAGAGGTGTGTGTACAGCCCTGCTTCCAGCACCCAGCAATCAGAGGGATTTTAGCCAAACTTCTGTTTTCATTGATTCCCATTGAAATGAAGGTCTTGGCTAAGCACAGAGACTTTCGGGGATCCGTTGCTTTCCTCTGTAGATGGGATCAGCACCACCTTCTGAATCTACATGGGTCAGGTGTCTGAAATCCAGATATTGCTGGGCCTGATTTTAGATCGTGTCTTGGGTCTGGTTCTTCTGCAGGCACTAAATGCCGCTTAGTTTTCTTTGTATAGGTAAAAAAAATAATCATAGACCACTGAAACATAGATGCACAGAATTAAACAGTTTTGCTATTGCTGGTTTTCTTCTTTTAAAGCACGATGAAGACGGCACTCGGCCACAGCCGACTGGCTAGTTTTCTGCTAGGAGGCTCTGGTTTTGTCCCTTGATCTTTTGATTTGAAGTAGTTCCAGAAATATGGCAACAGTTCAGGTCCCTGATCCAGAGCATCCTGTGTACCTGTCTCCCAACACAGCTGGACCGCAGGCAAATGAGTCATCTGCTGCTTTTTGCTTGGGGAAACCTTGCAATAGGATTTGGGGGAACTGTGAGCTTCAGCGCTTCTGGGTTTATTGCACTGTAACTGCTGGCCAGGAAAATACCCCGACAAACTACTGCGCTTCCAAGACACTGGGTTCTCAGGAGCATGTCTTACCGAAATGAATCGTTTCCAAGCATTGTTGAGGAGGCGAGAAAATCTACGGAGAAACCATTAGGGTATAGCAGTAAGGGGAAGGTCTCTAAATTCTATTTTGTAAAATGAGCAAAATGTTCTTGTAAGCCTAAGATCAGGAAGGAAATAATAGCATTTGGCCCTGGTTCACCTGCCAGTTCTTACTGACCAAAGAGCTAAAGCTCTCACTTGGCTCAGCTGGGATTTGCTGCAACAGAAATTCCCTCTGAAGGCTAGTACAGCTGCTCACGAGTAAGAAATGCTGCTTGGCAATGAATCCCCGTTAACGTGGTTTACTATAGCGTGGCACAATATGTGAGGGTGTTGCTGCAATGAGCTTGGAGATGGGAGTTGCTAAGTGTCACGGACCAAGCCACAGCAGATCCAGTTACTTGTGGACAGACGACAGAGGAAACTAATGTATAACTGCGTAAAGCCTTCCCCATTAGAGCTTTTGTCCTCCCGTATCATATTAGGATGACCTCAGAAGTGGCTTTATTTCCTTTATTTTTATAGTATTGCTGCACAAATTTACTTTAAAAAATAAAAGACTTTAAACAGCTGAAGAGCGTTTTTTCATATTTTTGAGATTGACAGTAGTCCTTGAAATGAAATATGCCGAATTCTGAGGGGTTTCTCTCTCTGTGCACCTTTAGGGGCTCATTCCCACCCGCTGTGTGGTGGTCTAAATCAGCTGTGATCAAAGAACAGCCGAAGCTGGCTCCCGGGCTGCAGTTTACTTAAACTTCACAAATTGTGACAGCAATAGGCAGCTTTCGTTGCACTTAATTTATCTGGAAAAATGAAATCCTTCCCCACCAGTATTAATGTTTCCAGGAAATATGATCTGAAACTCAGCAATTTTTTAAGGGTTTTTTCTGAGTTATACAGCAGTGTGCCTGACTGTTTGTAATAGTTGTCTATTGAAATAAAGTAACTGCCTTTGGAAGATTATAATGAAATAAGTGAGCGTAGTTTAGGCTTGGAATTAATACTTTACAAGGTTAATCTCTAACCATCAGGCAAGTTGCTACTGAACATGCAGGAAGGTTTCTTGGGTGGATTCTCTATAAGTTTCTTCAGGGTGGGTGCTCTCCCTGAGTCCACTTGAGCATCTTGTGTAGGTCTTCAGGTTTCCTCTACCTCAAGTTGTAGGGGGGAGAGATGCACCTTCGGAAAGTAATTTTATACCTTTAAGCTTTAGGAGGTGTAGTACACAGCTTGAGACATGTTCATCTTTCCCAGATGTCTGGTAATGTGTAGATGTCTATATTCTGTGAGTTTAACCTAGATCCTAAAGTTTTAGATATTTTCAGTTAGCTGAGATTCAGCTCTTCTGCTATGTATCCTGGGATAAAAATGTTTCATATGAGCTTTAATTGGAAAATTCAAACGATGCAGTGCTAAAAATGCAAGCTGGGGAAGACAGTCTGTCAGATTTATGTAGTGAAATGCTTCTCTGGGGAGCAAAAACATCAAAAGAGTGTCTTGTCTTTGTGCTGCAGGGAGCAAGGGAGAGGTTTGGGCTGGTTTAAGCTTAGCCAGTGGAGCTAAGCTGAGCTGAATCAGCTGAGGCCTCTCATGGACATGCCATCTCTAAGACAGCTGTAGCAATTACGTGTAGTATTTGTAGTATTTTCATACTGCAGATATGGCAAAGAACAGCTTTACCAGTGCTACATACGCTGTCACTTCCAGCGTATAAAGAGTGTGTGGCTAGCTAGCTAACAAATGATCTTTCATCTTACACTAGCTTGCTGTTACGCTTGACCAAGCTAAGTTTACAGAGCACCTTGTTTATGATCAGGCTTTGTTTAATCCTCTGTTTTCTTACAGTAAATTGCTTGGATCAGCATGTCGAAAAGTCTCCAAACAGAGTGGCTTTGATTTGGGAGAGAGATGAGCCTGGCACTGCAGTGCATGTCACGTACAGGTATGCCACCTTCTTACGATGCTTTATGATGCCTGGCAATGTGGTGGGGCGGGGAGAAGAGCTGCTGCTCTGAAATCGGACCTCTGTGAAACTCTTTCTTCCAAGGTACTCCGGCACATAGGACATGCAGCTGCAGTGCTGCGGCTAGGTTGTGGTGTCATGATGAGATAGCTTCTGAAAAACGGAGGCATGTTCCCACCGAGAAATTATATTCTTCCCTTGGCTTCTTCATGGATAGGGCTCCCTGATCTTAGACACCTGTGTAACAAACATACTACAGGGTGAGAGGTACAGTGGATGTAAATTAGTGACAGCTACTGAAAATTTAAGATTGAGATCTGGCATCATCTTCTGGTTATGGTGTTAATCACGCCTGCCTGTAGATTCCCTCTCTCTAAGTGGGGGCTTTTAGAAGAGAAAGGCTTGTTTTTTCTCCCTGGCTTATGTTCTCACTTGCCAGTTTTCTTTTTGCTTGTTAGAAGTGTTCATGGGAGAATTTCTGTGAGCAGCTTTCGGTTTCAGCACAGCAGTTTGTCTTGGTGCAAACATCTTGTGTTGATGGTCAATAGCATGATACCGAGTCCTGGCTGGAGGGGATTTGAAGCTCCCTGTGTTCCTCTTCCCCATCCTCAGTGCAGTTTAGAGCAACCTTGAGGCTGCTCTGTGTGACGCCGACTTGTAATTGCTGCTATAGATTGTAGGGTTTGTTAGAATATGGCAGTTTTCGAGCATATTTCTCCTTTCCCTGCTATGCGCCCTCATTTAGGAGACAGGCCTGCCTGCAAAAATGCCTTTTAAATCATCTCTCTCTCTAGTGACAGTTAAAGGTTTCCCAGACTTGTACGTTCCTCAGTGCGTATTTTAGGGAGCCAGATGTTTGATGTGCTGGGTGTCAGGAATCTGCTGAATCAGAAAGCAGAGGAGATGTAGGAAGTCCTGGTATCTGACTCTTCTACAAAATGTTTTCTGTAGCTTATTGATAGTTGGGATTCCTGGAGCTCCTTGAGTCTAAATAGGTTCTGGTGGTCTGGTTCACCTCCAGAATTTATTAAAGCTCCTGAAAACATTAGTCATTGGAGTGAGGATGCTGGTCATCAGGGAGGAGTGGGTGTACAAATATCTTTGGAAGGTTAGTGCTCCATGCAACAGAAATAAACACTATCTGATACAAAGGTGTGGAAGAAGTGGATTGGTTTTAATCTTGGTATTGTTATTTGACAGGCTGTATAGGCATGTTATGATACAAATGTGTTGTAACCAACGGGGTAGCTTGGCTAAATGCTTTGAGTTTTGCTTTTGCCATTCTGGTGGTAGAAAAGGAGGTGGAATTGAAGGTTTCTCCCCGAGTTTGGGGTGGTGTATGTGCTTTTACTGCTCTCTTCATGCCCCAGGCATGAAACTGGGGGTAGGTCAGAGGTGGGAATTGTGTTCTGATTAACCTGAGAAAGAGAGCAGCCCATCAGATAGCACAGCCTCATTCAAGGCAACTCTAGCCTCCCCCTTAGACCGTGCTACTTGAAATGTGCTGAGCTGCTCCAGACCCCCAAACCATCTTCTCGGGATCTCTGGAGATATGAGAAGGCCTTTCTGAACAGCAACAGAACTGTTTTTTTCTTGGCCATGCCAAAATTTATTTGGAAGAAAGCATATTTTCAGCCTGTGGATTTGTGATTGCTGTGGCTTGAAGACAAGTAATCCACATCTGAAAACTGAATCCCTCTTTGTGCAGTCTTACAAAGATACGGTAATTAGCAATCAGAAAGAAGAACATCCAAGTGAAAGACAAATTGGCAGCCTCTATTTTCGAACTTCTGCTTGTATTTGGGAGCCATGTTCCTGTTTCTGCCTGATACTCGTGGTGAGATGTGGCTGCATTTGAGTGACACATTTTCTCAAGAGACTTTGGTCCTAGGACGTGGTAAAAAAGGTCACTTGGTTCTCTGCTTATCTCATTAAGTCAGGAATAGCTTTGTTGAAAACAGTGATATTATATGGGTGTGTATGCAAGGAGAGAATCAAAAGTTTTGCCTTTTCTGTGATCTTTAGGCTGCATTTTTAAAGGTTTTAAATGGGGCAGTAAGGTTTTCCAAGGTGTGTTGGCACTGACCTCCCTTTGAGGCTGAGCGTAGTTGAAAACTTTTTGCAGTAGCGTCTTGTTTTATCTAGAAGTTTTGTGAGGGAAAGCATATCAGCAAAAGAGATGGCCCAGAAGCTGTGATGCTGGTTGAGTAATCCTCTGAGAGCCTTCTGTAGCAAAGTGGTCTCTGCATGCCAGCCTCCGTGCAGGACAGCCCCAGTATAAAGAGGGAATGAGAGTGACGCTCTGGATATCAGGAGGACCCAAACTCTGGTGTCTGTGGCAGAGGAGGTGTGCCCCTTTCCTTAGGATCTGGATGCGCTGTTAATGGGACAGCAGCCTTAAAGTCGTGTGCTAGGAAGGTAAAGACTTTAATTTGGCCACTGCCTTATGGATTAGCTTTGAGGAAGGTCCTGGAATCTCAGCTGGGAGGTGTCCAGGGCTTATGTGCAGAGAAGTACAAGGCACCAGTTTTTTGCATTATCTACTTTGCAAAGCTTGCTGCTGTGAGCTTCTTCTTATAGATAAGCCCTGGGTGGCACAAGGAAAGATGCAGCTGCTGGTATGGGTGCTCTCCCTTCTCGCCCGGGGAGCTGTCGGGGGCAAGAAAACAGCTGAGCGCAGGCCCCGTTCCCATCACAGCGTGCAAAGGAAGCAGGTGGCTGTGCAGGAAAAGGGCTGGAACAGGCTTCCTCCTCCCTGAGGAAGGGAAAGGCCTCGATCAGTAGGACCTCCTCCATGCATTGGCAAGAAACGCAGCTATGTTGGAAAGTGCTGTCCCAGCTTGCTCATACTTGGGAGAAGTAAGAGCCTCCGTTTGCCTCTGCTGCCCCACTAACTGCCTGGCTTGCAGCAGGCAAAGAGCTGTTGGGACCGTGCTGTAAGTCAGCCTGCATCCCTGTGCACGTTTGTCAGCAAGGTGGGTTGTGTTTATGCAGCTGAGTTCAAGTGCGCTGTGCTAGGAGAGGAATCCAAACATCTCCTTATTGGCAAAGATACCCAAAGCCATAGTTTTGCTTGAATGATGATTGCTGCCCTTACAAACTCAGTTGTGATCATCTTTTTCGCTGCTGAGTTTTGTCCTGTCTCTCCAGCTGATGCAACTCAGCCTTTTGGGGAAAAAAGTTCCCTGGCCCCTCTTGTGCTTTTTCCCCCCTCTGGGTTTCATTTTCATCAAGTAGAAATTCAGCTGTGTTTCAAATTATCTTCAGTTTCCAGTGGGAGGGCAGGAGACTTGTTTTTTCACTACTTTGTGATGACAGGGCATGCAACCCTCCTGGGATTTGGTGGCTGCAGTCAGCAAAGTGGGGACAGATCATGCCAATCTCTTATCAAGAGGTCTGAATTGCCGGAGGCTAAACCACCATAAACTCATTGGTAGGGTAGTGGCGAAGTAGCAGTTAACCCACAGGAGTCTGCTGCTGTGAGCAGCCAGCTGAATTTATTGGCAGAAGGGTCCAACTCATCTGGGAGTGTTTTGTCCTGCTGTGTCGATGTTGTCAGGGCCCAGGTGCTTCGAAACCTTGCAGAGGAATTCCCCAATGTGTTGCTGAGCCTGGGTTCTAAAGGGTTATTATTATCAAGTGCCTTATATAAGCAGGCGGAGTCGGTGGCTGGAGCTGTTGGGTTGCAGCCTCTGTAAGCTCAGCAACAGGGAATGTTAAAGACAGCAGCTAAAGTTATGCCAGACCTCCCCCTGTCCGACATGGGGTTATTTATTGTCTCTGGTGTTCCCTTGTTTAGCACAGTCTATACAATTTAGCCACCTGTGAGCCAGTGTTTCCTAGCACTGCAAAATCCTACGGATATTGCCAAAGGGAGCTGTGCGAAGAAGTGGGCAGCAGTACGTGTTAGCTAACCTGTTTTTGCAAAGGGTTGTAGACTGGGTCTCAACGGAAGGGTTTTAATTTACAAAGGAGCTCACTCCGATGCAGAAAATGTTGTGGGCAGAGGGAATGTTCAAAATGCAAAATACAAAGTAGGGAGAGGAAAGCAGAAGCTGAGGGGCCAGAAATTAGGGTCTTAGGTAGCTTTTCATAGGGTCCTAGGTAGGTGGGAGAGAAGCGGTTGGACATCTTCATTAGCCACATCACAGCTATGCCTTTAACAAGCCAATGGATGGTGGTTCCTCAGCCCGAGCTGAAATGGTTGAAATTGTGTTAAAGATCACAGTGAAGACTGCAGCTGGAAGCCATGTGGGTACTTACCAGGCTTTTCAGAAGGTGTTTCTCATTGACATTGAAAGAGCAAACTCTTTTCCTTCTTTCCAGTGTTGGCTTCCTAAGTTGAAGTTGCACGTAAATCTTGCCCAGGCTTTTGGCTTTCCCCATCTAAGGCAGCTCAGGGACTTTTCACTTTGTCACCTGAAAAAGGTCATAAGGGTCCTTGCCTTGGGTTCAGGATGTCTGCAGGAAGGCCAGACAGTTGTGCTCGGCTTAGCAATTGAACCTACAGCCACAAAGCCTCATGTTGAGCTTTATATTTTTCAGTTATTCTCACTAAAATGGAAAAAATGTTGAGTTTTCCTTTTGGTGAAAAAAGGAAACGTGTTTTCTCTATTTAGCAAAAAGTGAGCGAAATGGAGGGTTAAACTGAGGCACTGTCACAGAAGCTGCAGTGAGGGGTGAATAGGTTTGTGCATTATCCTTGTGGCCAGAACACTGACCCAGAAGAAGGGATGGGTGTGAAGACCTACTGTGTCCCAGGGGACTTGAACCCACATCTCAAATGACAGTGCCCATGGCGCTGTGATCGCAAGGTACAGAGGCAGGCTCTGAACTCTGCTGCTCCACAGTAATTCATGTAGAGCAACAGCTAGGAGGTGAGATATGAGGGTGTTGGGCTGAGAGATGCCCAGATCTGTTTTTGTTGTGGTGGTGGTGGTGGTCGTGGTGGTGGTGGTTTTTTTGGTTTTGGTTTTGGG